CCGCCCCGCCCCGCACCGCTCCGCACCGCCCCGCTCCGCTCCGCTCCGCACCGCCTTCCATTGCCCCCGCCGCCCTGCGCCGCTCTCTCCACCGGGAGCCCGGGCTGAGTGTTATCGACCTTCGACAGCGAGAAGGTGAAGGCCATAAGTGCGATCCGAGGGTTGGAGCACTTTCCCTGTAAGCAAAAGCAGAGGGAGTTGGGGCTGCTCAGCCTGAAGAGAAGTCTTCGCGAAGACCTCATAGTACCTTTTAGTGCCTCAAGGCGGCCGTAGGAAAGATGGGGAGGGACTTTTAACAACGGCATGTAGTGATATGACATGGGGGGAATGGCTTTGAACTGAAAGAGGATGGGTTTAGATTGGGTATTAGGAAGAAGTTCTCCATTGTGAGGGTGTTGAGACACTGGAACGGGTTGCCTAGAAAAGTTGTGGATGTCCCATCTCTGGCAGTGTTCAAGGCCAGCCTGGAGAGGGCTTCTGAACAACTTTGTCTAGGGAAAAATGTCCTTCCCCACAGCAGGGTCATTGGAAATAGGTGCTCTTCAAGGTTTCTTACAAGCTAAACTGTTTGGTGGTCCTATGTCAGCTGGTTTTCTAACTATTGTGATACCCACTGGTGTGCTGTTAAGGGGTTCTCCAGATGTCCCTAGATCTCAATCTCACTAGCAATGGAGGAGGGAAAACGGCAACATGGCTTCTTGGTGCTGCTTTGGAATTGTGGCAACTAAGTATCACCCAAGGCAACACCAGGAAAGTGTAAAGATTTATTTTTTTAAAAATAAAACACAACCAGTCAGCTTTGGCTCACTGCTTTAGGGAACACTCCCACCCCCAAAAATGCACCACTCCTCTCTTAGAGGATATTCAGGATGACAGTAACCATCCCCAGTGACTCCCCTCTAGAGAAGTATGGGGCACAAAGAAAGGTAACCAGGATTTTTTAGTGTGTAAACAGGTGCTCCATTTTAGTTGATATATCACTTAAGTCCATGGAAGTCTAGAAATAACAGCTTTTTGAGATGGTTAGCATAGAGATGGATGATTGCTTAAGTCAAAAGACTGCATAAACAAGGAGTAGGGAGAGGATATGAAGGCAACTTGAAGAAAACAGGCAAACTCTGATGATGTACAGAAATGCACAAGATGAAAGGTCTGTGAGCTAACACTGTGAAATGAATACATGGCCAATGTCAATGCAGAGATGCATAAGGAATCTCTGAGTTGGAGGACAGCAACAAGCTCAAACCTCAAACCTGAAGTTTGTGATAACAAGAGGCAGAACCAGCACAGAAAGCTTGTTAAAAGTGTGGAAACATTATAAAAGGCTGACAAATAGATGGTGGGATGTGGAAAACATAGCTTGTAGCAGAGATCTCACAGAAGCTTCATAACTTCATTGATTAGGGTGGGGAGTACAAAGAGGATCTTGTCCTTTAGGATTTGCTTCATGCTTCTATTGGAATTGTTAGGATTATGACAGATGATGAAATCCCTGGGCTTTTGAAAGAGCGTCTTAATAAGATTATTGGGTTTGGCCAAAAGGGATATGTCAAAATATGATAAACCATTGAGCAATACTGTATGTCTCACCGAGGATGGGAAAACCAGCATAACAAAATTTTATCATTCCCTTTTCGCTTCAGTATTCAGAAGTTAGAACCATTTTTTATTTCTTGGTTCACCACTT